CGGTCAATTTAGGACGTGATATCTCGATCTCCAGTGATCCGATTCAAACAAATATATAACCATTCGATTCGTCTTGACTAGACAAATTGAATGATACATATTATTTTTTGAATTAGATCACTGGCGATCGAGATATTGCATCCTAAATTGACCGATTCATTTTTCTGGCGATCAATTTATAATGAAAAATTGATCGACAAATATGAATCGATCACTTTAGGACATACATGTAATATCTCGACGTTCAGAGTCCGATTTGAGCAAAAATACTACCATTCGATTTGTCTAATCTAGAAAAATCAAATAGTAGTATTTTGCTCAAATCGGATCTCTGGACGTCGAGATATTACATGTATGTCATAAAGTGATCGATTATTGTATTTGGGGCATGAAAGTTTATGAATGTCCTAAAGTGATCGATTATTGTATTTGGGGCATGAAAGTTTATGAACATACAATACCCGATATAGAAGCTCTACTAATCTATAAAAGGTATCATGAGCAGCATTTGTAATGTTCTTTATACTCAGAACATTACACATGATCTATGGAAAGTTATTGGGGCATAAAGAATTGTTAATATAATTAAATTATTCAGTTCTTTTGTTTAATTAGAAGAGATTCATCATTTGTAAAAATTACGAGTCTTGATTCAAATTTAATTAAACGTTTATTTAAATGTTGTGACGAGATTGTTATTTCTAACGCTAATCCATAGATGATAGTTTCTTTTCTCGTCATTGTTAATTTACTTTAAATATGGCATAAAGAATTGTTAAGAATATAATTAAATTATTCAGTTCTTTTGTTTAATTAAATGTTTATTTAAATGATTGTTATTCCTAATGCTAATACAAATAAAAATATGCACTATAAAAATATCCGTGTATATCGATAAACCGGAAAGTACATGTACTTTACAAGGGAGGGGTATTTATCTGATGATCATTACATCATGATCTAATATTAATAATACGTAATTGTTTATGATTTCTATTTCACGTAAATTACGTATTTATGCTTTCTAAATTTCCACGTGGAACATCAACAGTAGTGTGATCACCAAAAGTTCGGGCCACGTGATAATATATTGATGGCGTTAACGATGCGAAATTTAATATCCTAGCCACGGGGGTTGGCTAAAGCTCGGTGAACACGTGTAATACATCCAATAGGAGTGCGTAAATTTTTGTCAATCACCAATAAGAATGCACAAATTTTTGATCAACCTGGCAAAACAAATCCGACACAAGATATGAAAAATGCTTAAACCTGTCTTGGAATACTAATTTAAAATGTTAGGAAGGCAATTTTATATATAAACTTGTCTTCTAATTCTAACCCTTACCATTACTCTAACCTTATTGGTTGCACGCGGAAAATTTAGAGGAACTGAGTCACATGTCCACCAGGCTTTAGCTAACTCCTAGCCCCTCCTAGCCACGACAGAGAAAAGTGTCGGTCACGTGATGATCAAATCAATAAGAATGCGCAAAAATTCTGTGCAACCAATAGGAATGTAGCAAATTTTTGATCAAGAAAATAAAAAAAATGCGAAAAATACAAAAAACAGATATATAAATCTAGCTTGGCACACTATCAAAAAATGTCGGGAAGGCAATTTTATTTATAAGTTTGATCTCAACTCTAACCCTAACCCTAATACTTGATATCTAATATTAATCAGATATGTTAATGGACTTATTTTAGATCACGTGACCGACACTTTTTTACCGTGACTAGAATATTATGCGAAATTATGTGTTATATGTTGATCTTGATCATCATCAAAAAACTATCACATGACCCGAAATTTTGGATTCATTTTATACATTTTTAGGCGGGAATCCCATAAAAGAGATTGTGACATTTTGGAAGGATTGATCTTTTTGTAACGTCAAAGCTAACATTTTTGCACCATAATTACAATATCCTTGGATTCCCGGAATACACTTCAGCTATCGTCCAAAAGTTTTATCAATGGTTTCTTCGTGAATGTAAATCTCAAGACAGGACAGGTGCCAGGCCAGGGTGATCGAACCGAGTTTTTGAATATAGTAAAGTAACGGGCAAGCATTTGTTGAACATAAGACTGCTATGCTTGTAAGCTCTTTTATTTCTATATTGGTAGCCTCAAGCCTTGTGTTTCTTCCCGTAACGTAACTTCACGAATTCTTTGGCTCATAGCCAGGTATAAAATTCATACTCTTCGTCGTCGAAAGCGCGATATATTGTCCGAGTGCTTTTAGCCTGGCCTGGTTATAAGAATATCTGCTATCTTCAACAAAAAAGATACTGATGATGTGATGTTACCAGAACATTCCCATGTCTGATAACGGTTCAATATCACTACTTGCAGTTTCTAGCGTAGATTCCTAAGATCAAATCAGCTGGTTCAATTATCTACCAAGAAGATGGCCTTTGCTAAGAAAGTTGATTCGGTCTCTGGCAGTTTTGAACGAAAGGTAATACTCTATACTCTTTAATGTCAAGGTATGTAACCGGAATTAGAATTTTCGTAGCTCGCATTGAGATAGCTACAACGACATTTGAATGGTCTCCGAATTCATGCTCAAATGCGAGACAATATTGAGCAAAGTCCTAAGATAACTCGTCGCTATTTCATCAGATAGTAGTTAATTAAATTTTTTATAAGTGCAAAAGATAAAGATATTGGGTTAAAATGAAGATTGTTAGTTTAACACAGAGAATGTTTATTCGATGATCTAAGAATTACGTATTTGATAGGTCTGTGCGTGAGATTTGTTCATCAATTTTATTTTAGCGTTAATAAAAATCCAAAACATTGTTGTTAGAAAAGAACATTGATACTCGCTAAAAACTACTATATACCAGGCTTAAATAATAACGATAACGCTAATAAAAAAAAAACAATGTACACTGAAATTTTGTATACTCTAAGAAACCTTTTATTGGCAAGGAACAAAGAAGGTAACTATTCTCCCAATCACAACATATTGACTGATTGATTGATCCAAATACATGTATAATATATCGATATATACTGTTTATTTTTATTAACATTCCTCCCCTGTTCTTTTTAAATATACATATCTTATACCCAAGTGAGAAAAACTAAAACCAATTTCTCTTTTTACTATTTGGAGGTTCTAACAATCTTGATATTCTTTTTTTGTGTATGCTAGTGTCTCAATATTCTAAAGAGAAACAGCCATTGAGTTCTCCGTTTCCAATAGTGGAACAAAGAATCGTCAAGGTAAAGTATTAGTTTCAGTAATCACAAAGATAAATCTACCCTTAACATTTTTTTCTATTCCGAAATGCTAATAAAAAAGGTATCCGTGACAAATCCTACTATCAGACTGGGGGGAATATTTGGAAGACGACAATTCACAGCATACGAAATAACAGTTCATGTAAATACCGTTTTCTATTATTCATGTACATATTTTAGAATAATCTGTTCAGACAAACAATTTTATTATTAGATCTGGTGTCCATTCTCTTGTAAAATGACGAATGTAGTCGTGCATAAACGGTACTCCGTTCTCCGGAAATCCTACGAAAAATTGCAAGCATTGTTACTAGTGACGACGCCAAATTCACGATTAGATCGTGTAAGGTTGCCGTCACTTCCTGGAAAACAAATGCATGGTTATTATTTGCTTTTTAATTCGATCTTTTAACTGATCCCAAGCAAAACTAACATTTATGCATGCATGGATAGGCCGTTTCACTAATCGCTTTATCGAGCAACGGAGACGAGCACTTCAAACCTTTCTTTGGAACATCGCACAACTAATAACAATAAAAGAATTTCTACAGTTTCTGGGTGAAGATCTTTTTGATGATATGGTGAGTCACTTGTCTTGTCGTTCTTTGGTCTTCACACGAGTCCGTTAGGGTTCTAATTTAAATCATTTCAGGCTTTATCTACTACCAACCACAACAAACCAACCACCTCGTCACACATTCTATCCATCAATCCACGAATGTACGCGGCGGCTATCAAACGGCACCGAAGACATCTTTGTCTACGGAAGGTGAAACCGTTTCAAGTCATCGCCGAATTGAGATTTGATGGGTAAGAATATATAAAAGGACGAGATAATGACTTTATCATGATAATAATGAATAGTGGCTATTGAAGAGACCTTGGGTTTACTGATGTTTACTAATGTTGGATGAATGAATGATTTTTCGTGTATTTTTTTATGAGATGTAATTAAAAAATATCATGAGCATTTATAGATTTACGTACTTTGCTCTTGAAGAGATAATAAAATTTTTTGAATCAAAATAATTATTTCGTGTAACTAGAATTGTTTACGTTGCGCGAAACTTTTTCGTCGTTTTTCCAAAATAGAGAATTAAATTGGGAAGATGGCAAAGCATGCCAAGTAAAACTTTGAATGTATTATGTACATCAGTGTTACTTTGAGTAAAATTCGTTGTCATAGTACGCAGTAATGACTCGTAACCAATAGAGTAGAGGCGTAGTTAGCCGTTTTTTGTATATAGAGGTTCAGAACAAATTCACATTTCTTGGTTTTTTTTTGAACTATCCAGGCATCATAATAAACACACATTTTTTAAATCTAATTTTGAAATAAAACATAGTAAAAATGTCCTTATTGAATTCGTCGAATTTAAATTCCATCTCCATGGAATCCGACTCTAAGCCGTGCTTTGATTGTGACTCTTTCGAAAAAACGACTACTACCTTCTTTGAAACCGGAAATTTGTCGTGTTTTAAGAGAGAAAGAGAACGCGCGCAAGAATGGCATCATATTATCGTTAGTTTGCAACAGTATCAACTACAACAGCGACAAATGTGTCTTCTTCGACAGAAACAGCAACAATGTTATCCGAGATACTCGACGCGACTTTATTATTCCTCACAATCACAATCACAATAACAACAACAATAACAACAACGATAATATTAAAATCATAAAATCCTGTAACAATCATTTATCAATATCGTTTAATGATTTAGTAGTGCACTCAACTTCAATAGATTTCATGAATTTATCGGTGGGATTAACACAACGGAAGAAAAATGCCTTGGTGAGAATTAATGTGAAGTGTCATGGACAATCGTTTGATGATTTATTGTGGAGTCAGGGAGCGATGAAGATGTTGGGATTACCGAACGCTGGGGGTGCAAGTATGCTATCGGAAGTTCTTTCTTGTGAAGTGATGGAAAGAGTTTTGGGCGTAGAGTTGTTTAAAACCGAGGTATTTAGCTATTATATCTATTATATCTGTTATTTCTCATAATTTGCAAACGAAAAATCAATAAAATATTTTAAATAGATGGAAGTAAGTTACCTATTCATAAATCAACCAATGACCGACTACCTCGTGAAATTTCATAACCAGCAAAACATTTTACTCTGTCTCGGCGTTTCAGTAACACGAGCATACGCGCATAAAGGTCGTTACACGAAACACGATGCTCACAAACTACTCACGAAAAAACTCTTTGGCGTGACTTCGTCCACACGAAACATCATCAATGCTAAAATCTGGAAACAGATTCTACATATTTGGTGCCCAAATGGTAAGGTGGCGAACGTGGTTAGACGCGCATACGTGAAATTAGACGATGATTACAAATCGAATACGATGGTTGTGTTGAGTATTATTGATTCGATGTGGGTTTTTACGAATGGGAAAATGTAGTTTTATTTTTTTATTTTTTATTTTATGTATATACACCAACTATGTAAAATAAATTTGACTATGTAAAATAAATTTGATACCGATACCACATGTGAAATTTTCGTTTTGACGATCTAATCAATTGATCAAATGTTACCTTTACTACATGTAATAGCACTATCATTGAAAGGTAAAGAATTACTCTTACTTTATCAATCTTACATCATCATACTTATCACACTTGCTTTTAATCTCATCGTATGTTTAGTATACCTCTATGACGTATTTTCGTTATTTCACAGGCTCAACGCTTAACATTTCGTAATAAATCCATAATCGAATATGTCATATCGATTACATAAAGGAAAAGTAAACGTAACCAATCCAGTCGTCCAAAATTTATTATATAAACACCCAGAAGGTTTTTACCACCACCAACATCAAAATTAATTTCATCTACTCTCAAAAACACCAATAACTACATTCTTCCAAACTTTTACGTAAAAGAACGAACGATGAGTACTCTTGAGACTAAAGGCGAAATCAAAGTCGACAAAGAACAATTGAAAGTGGGTCAAACAGTCGTTTACCGTCCTGTTGGCGGGGCTGAAACTACTAGTGAAGGTGTCATTAAGGAAATTATAATCGAGCCTGAGGTATGTTATACTATCTGTTATTACTTTTTTGTGGTGGTTTACAGATTGATTTTTTTTTTGTTAGATTGCTGGTGATACTCAAAAGAAAGTTCAAGCGAGTGAAGAACAACCGCGAATCTTGATCAAAAATTCTAAAACTGGCAAAGTACGTTAATATTTTATCGTAGTTTTTATTGTTATATTCTTTGCTAATTTTGTCTTTCTTTCAATTATTTTATAGGAAACCGGTACGTAATATGTCTTATCTCTTTTTTTTTTAATTTACTATTCCGTGCATTCATTTATTCTCATGCAGCATATAAGCTCGAAAACATCGAATCTATCAAAGGATAGAGGTCTCGCGGTTATATGACGAAGACGATCACATAACCTTCACTTCTCATAGCCTAATTTCTATAATAATTAGTAAATGTATCTAGCATAGTATAATGTATCTAGCACAGTAAAATGTAAAAATCTTTTTTTGTTGTGTTACAAAGTTTATTGTTGCTGTTACAAATTTATTTTACCATAAAAGGAAATACGTACTTTGTACATGTATTTTGTTGTGTTACAAAGTTTTATTGCTGTTGCATGTATTTATTTTACCATAAAAAGAAATACATACGTATTGTGTAAATTCTAGAATTCGATAATATATCACCAGACATCGCTCTCTATATACATGTACCAAAAGTCAATTCTTTACATTTCTCACAATTACATTTAAACCCATAGTAAGAAAGATTCGTCATACGATCCTCCTTACAAAAATTCATATCCACATACGAAATAAAAATCTGCTCATATTCCTGAATACACTTCCTCGCCCTAAACACATGACGACTCCAAAAACGCGAATCAACCGTTACATTCCCATGCTCAACATTCGGATCACAACTATGATTTAAAAAGGTAGCCAACTGTGGAAACAACGATGCGGTATCAGGTCTCCCGTGATCATCCTTGCCTCCGAAAATATTACATCCTAAAGTGGTCAAACACGTCACATACACCCAGAAATCGTATCGCAGGTCGTCGTACACCGAAATTCCTAAAATATCTAGTGTTTCTTGGTATATTTGTGTCCAGTTTGCGTTGAATGACAGCCCTAGTTCCGATGGTAGTTGGTACCGCACAAGATGCGTCATTTCGGGAATATCGAGCGGGTGAACGGACCGTGTTTTTGCTACGGCAAATACTTTGAGAACTAGAAGATATGCCAGAGAGCTATTCGACATTCCTTTTTGTGTGCCTTCGAGAATGTTACCAATCTCTTTACCGCACAGTTGGCGATGGTATTTCGCGAGTGCTAAACTGTAACATTGTGTGCTGCAAAATATTTCTTGGCATAAATAATTGTCACATGGAACTATTTGTCCGGATTGTAGTGGGCGATTACAGTAGTCACAGCGTGGTGTGAAATGGTTGTGGACACAGAGAAAACTATCTTCTTGGAAAATTACTTCACCAGCTTCGATAAATGATCCTGAGAAAACACCGAGTTGAATCTGGGATCTTTCGATATTCTTTTTTCCGTCACCATTATTGTTATATTGATGACCGTTATTGCCGCTGGAACTCGACTTGTATTGCGATTCTTGAAAATCAATGCGATCAAGTTTCAATTCTTTCAACGAAATCGATTTCGCGCTTTTTTGTAACGCTTGACGCGTGGCCTCGGTTCCACGACTCTCTGGTCGCGTATCCCACATATACCCCACATTGAATCGAAACTCGCCCGCATCCCCTCCAAATTTCTGATAATTCTTAAATTCTTTCGACAGTTTTTTGTCCTGATCCACACAGAAATCACGTTTAGTCTCCAACGAAACACGATCCACTTGCACGTCCTCGTTCAACAAATTCATCGATAGTGACATTAGTAATCCGTTGAATTTATTTATTGCGAGTTTGTAGAGTTTTAGTTGTGTGTATGCTTCGCCTTGGCGATAGGCTGCTTTGAAACCAAGAATTTGGTGTGTGTTTGAAAAGGAAGAGGGATTGGTTTCGGCGAGGATGTTTGAGACGCGTTTGGTGTCCATTAGTGTTAGTTCTGGGTATCCTAGTTTGAGAAATACGTAGGCTCTGTTACACCATAGTGTCGGATCTTTGGGGGATTTGACGAGCCCTTTGTTGTATTCGTAATAGGCAGTTAAGTAGTCACCGCGTTTTACTGCTTCGTTGCCTTTTATGCGATAATCCATCCAAGTTTTTTTTCGCGATTTGTGGATTTATTTAAATACTGTATACTAAATGCTCGTAATAGCATATAATTTATAACCAATAAAAAATATAATTTAATCCAATTTATGTTTAATCTATCGCTATTATTTACTAATAGAGAAACGATTGATTGATTGACTTGATTACTTTTTTTTCGTTTAAATGTTGATCTGTAGCCGAAACCTTTAATTAACGTTAACCTCGTTAAAAATCGAAAAAACTTGTGCCTGTATGGAAGATGTGCATTAGCATGAAGACGAACCCCCTACAATATATTACCGGAAATTTCAAAAATGACTGTCACTTTAGAACCCGATATCTCGACAACCGGCGGTGATCCCATTCGAACAGATATCACCATTAGATTCGTCTCGGCTATACGAATCTAACAGTGATATCTTTGTTCGAATGGAATTATCGGTTGTCGAGATATCGGGTTACAAAGTGACAAATTCATTTTTGAAATTTCCGGTAATATACTGTAGGGGTGTGTACACATTGTAGGGGTAATTCTTCTACGTTTGACAATTTGGCAATCAAATTTTGAATACACAAAAAACATACGACAAAAGAAAACTTCCATCATTTGTAGTTAGGGTGAGAATTAGAAAATACTTTAATAATTAGATAAGGTTATTGTTTCAAATTCACTGGCTAACCTAAATATATTATCTCTGCGTAATGACAGAAATTATTAGACTATCAGACTAACACTAAAATAGACTCCCTTATACGTAAAATTTACATCATACATTAATCACAATCATCATCATAGTAATTCATCAAAATTTCGCCCAGCGTACGAAAATGTAATGTGTAATTGATTTATCAACGAATCGCGCGAAAACTTGCGTAATTTTGACACAGCTAAATTATTCTCAAGGTCATAATCACCTATATATAAAGCGTGCCTTTCCTATCTTCTCTCATTTGAAAAAACCTTTTAACAACTACAAATAAAAATTATTATTCTGAATACTCTATATAACCATATAAACCATGTCTAAACTACCAGCCCAACATGACAGAGAACGTGAAATTGCTGAACGTAATGCTTTGGAAACAAAAGCAAAAGCAGAGAAAGTCACTGAAGCTCTAAGGTAAATATTTTTATTTTCCAACAATTACCAAGTGAAAAGTAACATTAAATATGATATTTCGCCAAAAACCTATTCGTACATCGAATACAACTTCAATACTTTAATTGAATCGACAATACCGAGAACAAAAATAATGTTTCACAAACTGATTTATATGCATAATCAAATACAGTGAAGGGAAACTCCCGACGACCAGGCAAGTAACCAGTACCATCACCAAAATTCAAGAGTCGGACATTCTTCATGAGGTGTCAACTCATATGTCACCGGCAGGCAAGAGAGTCTTGTCCGATACTGAACGATTGTTGGAGACCACAAAGCAAGTGTTGAGAGAAAAGAATCGCGGAGATCAGTTGCAGAATATGCTCTATTATGGGACTCAGGCTGCTAAGGATTTTGGAGGTGGGTTTTCAATTGCGTTTTTGGTAGCTTTCGACAATTTTCTGAAATTAAATTCGATTTTATTTATTTTTAAAATTAGACAAGGTATCAGTACCAACCGACATCCCAGAAGATATAAAAGCGAAAGCTCGTGGCGAAACAGCCGGACTCGTCAAAGAAGGTGTCAGCAAAGGAGCAAACATCGTTCGACTACTCATTGCTCAGCCTGAATTCAGAAGAATAATTGGGGACTTGCACTCTCTGGTTCAAGATTCAATCGATCAAGGGTTCGAAAAAATTGACCGAAGTGTCCAAAAAAGTTTCGAAAAACTTGACAAAACTTCTCAGGAGGTTGGCCGCACCGATGATCCTGCTGAGGCAATGAAACGGGCCAAAGAAAATATTATTGAAGACCCCGAAACGATTGATCGCACCGATAAAGCTATGGATGCTTATAGAGATGGCGATAAAGAAAGAGTTGCTGAACATGATGAACACGTTAAAAATAGAGTTGCTGATAAAACAAAATCTAAACTCGAAAAGTTTAAGATGTCCAAGGAACGACGTGAACAGCTGGTTCGTATTTAAATATTTTAAATATTTGAAAATATTAACATGTAATCAAATTCTAAATACGATTTTTAAAACTTTAGGTGACACGATTCAAAAACCTCACGATCCAAAGCCAAAACACCCCAGAATACCAACAAGCAATACAAGATATTATAAGCATCATTAGCCAGGTCAGTCAGTCAACCCAAGAGATCACCACAAAAGTAGCACAAGCAGGCGAACCACTCGCCGAAGGAGCAACAACTCCCTCCGTCGAGGAAGTCGAACGAAACGCTAAAGAGCTGCTTGAAAATTTTGCCAATCATCGTTCGCTCGACCACTTGATAATCGCGTTACGAGAACTCGCCGAAAAAGTCAGAACCCATGAAGATTTATTTAAATTCTTCCACGAGTTGCGCGAGTTCGTATTGAAATCATTGCTGGAGCCTGATTTCGTCAATGAGACTAATTATACGGCACATGGCTCCGATTTGATTGAACGTGGTCGTCGTCTTCTTTTAGAACAGTATGGTGATATCACGCGGAAGATTGCTTCGGAGGCTGCATTGTTTAACAAAGGCTTACAAGAGGATTCGACAACTAATCGACTAAAGAAGGACCTTGAAATTCTTACGAAGGATCTGGTGAGTTTTTTGCGTATATTTTATGTTTTATATTGTTGGTTACCGAGTATCTTAACGTGTATTATTTGATCTTTCATAATAGTTTTTGGATGAAAAGAATAAACCGGCATTCAAATTGGAGCTAGTTAAAGATGTTGCCAAGATAATTCAAGCCATCGGCAAAAAGTTCGATTATATTGCAGTTCCAAGAATCGAACAGTAAGTTGATCTATACATGTATCTAATTATATATCTACGTAATTATATATACCGCTAAACTAACTAAATACATGTATTTATACCACAAGTGCGGATGACCAAAACGAATTCATTTTTGACAATATTGTTCTCCACATTCCGCAGCTTCTCGCTCGACACATACATCTTAATTTGACGGCCGACATTGATCTAGATCGTCCAGACGACCAAATTCTTGAAAACACGATCACACTTGATGTGTAAGTTTTTTAAGCAAATTATTAAAAGACTTAACGATCAAAAAATCATCAATTTATTTTCTTGCAATTTAATTTAGCAAAAAGATAGGAGCAGACGCTCGTAACATCGCTTTCTTCTATCGACAGAAATCAGGAGTTAAATGGATGGATGTAAGTGATTACTTGATACGATTCAATACAAGCGTACACTAATCCTTAACCTTTATTAAAAATTTTAAAAAACAAAGGTTGGCCACATTGATTTTGCTATTCCAGAAGAAAGCGGCGGCCTAGGTATCCACATGAAACTCTTATTAAATGTTTCAAAGGACGAGCATACGCCGTCAACATTCCGAGTTGTGGAGCTTCATTCTCACCTTTCAGAGTTGAAAATTCGCCTGCACAATACGAAACACGAGTAAGTCATCATTCCTTGCCTATAAATTTTTGCACAAGTTAATTATTTATTGATCGATTGATTTTTTTAATAATTATTAATAGTTTCTTGTACAAGTTGGTGACTCCATTGTATGAGAAACGCATTAAGAAACAAGTCGAAAGCTCTATCAATGATATGTTGAGAAATGCGATCACTTACATCGATACGCAGATCAGGTTTGTTAATTTTGCTTATTCATTACGTACATTCTTTTTACCAAGTCGCATTCATACTAAATTTTCATCGAATTACTAATAGTACAATGCAAAAGAAAGCCAAAGAATTCAATGCCCGTAAAGCAACAGAAACATTTGAGGAAGAGGAATCGCGACAAAAGCAACCTTGGGAATCACCAGCCTTCGTTCCTCAATTTGAACCTTCGACTTCAACTGTGCCTTCTATTGATCGTCCTTAAGAAATTGTTGGCGGTGTTGATTTTTTTAGTATACAAATTTATTGATATTATATGTAGTTATAGTTGACAGATTTAAGCTGATTCATCACTTATATTAAATATTGTAATACTTGTAAAAGTTTCTCTTAAGCAACGCATCATGCAATAAATATCAAGACACTATTTCCAAATCAAAGAACGTAAATATACATTTCAAGGTATAAATAAAGATGAACAAAACATGCAATTACATATCGATCTTAATACATATAAATGCGGTATTATGAATAAAACGTACAGTTCACGTTCTTAAAAAGTTACGTAGGTGAAACACGAGTCCTACGATAAAACGTTCTTAAAGAAGTGTATGGTATGGATAACCAGTATGGTATGCATCACGTGGGGGTAGTACAGTAATAGACCATAGAGGAAACTACATGACTATTGGAAAAGGGTTAGGATATTAATTTAAAAGATTTATGTAGTTATGTTCCATACTCATCCGGTCCGGTTTTCCATACTCTATAGCGATAGATCCTATCAAACGTTTGTATTTTACAAAATGTATAAACTTCTTTGCCAAGAAATAAATACAAAATTTAATCCGTGAATATACTCAGAAAGGGGCTATTCTATCATATTCACGGATTAAATTTTGTATTTACTTCTTAG